TACAGATGCGCCCTTACTACTGAAGATGAGATATACCTAATAATTAGACTCCATCGCATTTAAAGTACAGGGGATAGACATATGGAAACACCTCATGAAATGAATGCCTGAATTGAAGTGTATATTTTAGCGACGTTTGTAGGTGACGTTATTCGTATCTGTCCAACACCACTACCTGTACAAAATCCGCAATATGTTGCAAGCTTCATTTGTTGTCGAGACAGTGTTCTGTGCAGTTTTCAGTGCATCATGTCAGAGCTAACAGAATTCAAATTGTTGGGGCCCGTATAGTGGGTGCTTCCGTAACCAAGGTAGCCGAGGTCTTTGTTGTTTCGCAAGGCAAAGTATCCAAGCTTATGACCGCATACAGGAGGACTGGAAAACCCGCCACTCATCCGTGATCAAAATGCCACTAAGAGGACAGTGTGGTGCCGAATTCATAAAACCTGGACTATGGAGCAATGGAAGACGGTCATTTGGTCGGATGAGTCCACTTTCACACTGTTTCCGACTTCTGGCCGAGTTTACGTCTGGAGAACGCCATCCCAAGCTTACGATCCAGATTGTTTGCTGCCAAGAGTGAAACATGGCNTCTGCCATGGCCCCCACAATCGCCGGATATCAATATTATTGAGCCGTTGTGGTCCGTTTTGGAGAGCAATCTGCGAGCGCGCTATCCACCTCCATCATCGTTAACAGAACTTGCCAATGTTTTGCAGGAAGAATGGTACAAGATTCCCTTGCAAATCATACAGGACCTCTATTTATCCATTCCAAAGAGACTGCAGGCAGTTCTGCAAGCCAGAGGTTGTCCTACACCATATTAGTCATGATAATGTGTTTTTTGTTGGGTGTTTCCATATTTTTGTCCATCCCTTGTACTATCTTCTGAGATATAACACCCGTGCAGTTCGTTGAAAACTGACGTTTCGGAGAAACATGTCGCCCCAACTTCAGGCTCGAAGAATATGCCAAACAATAAACTATCATGAAGCAGGTATTAAGAAGAGAACTTGTAGCCTGCATAAAAGTTAAGGTTCTTTTCAGCATAACAAATAAAAATTTAATGAATGCAAGAAATTGTTCCTGCCTTTTAGCGCACACATCACTCACTCATGGACCTGAGCCGTTCTTGAGAAGCCGTTAATTGTGCAGCTACTCAAGAATTTCTCAGCATTTTGTGGAACACGAAGGTTCATTACCGTGCTCACAACAGCCCTCCACTGGTCCCTAACCCGAGCCAGATCAATCCAGTCTATAACATCCCATCTTATCTCCCGAAAATTCATTTTAATATTGCCCACCCACCTATTTTTTGGTCTTCACAGTGGTCTCTTTCCTTCTGGCTTTCCCATCAATATCCCATAAGCATCCTCTTCTCCCTATTCATACTATATGCCCTGCCAATCTTATACTCCTTGACTTGATCATTCTAATTATACTTGGAGAAGGTTACAAGTTATGAATTTCCTCATTATGCAGTTTTCTCCAACCTCCCGTCACTTCATCTCCCTTCGGTCCAAATATTCTCCTCAACTCCCTGTTCTCAAACACCCTCAGTCTATGTTCCTCCCTTAATGTCAGAGACCAAGTTTCACACCCATTCAGAACCACAGGCAAATTTATAGTTTTGTATGTTCTATTTTTATGTTTTTGGACAGCAGACGAGAAGACAAAGGTTCTGGACTGAATGGTAGCGAGCATTACCCGAGTTCATTCTCCACTTAATTTCTTTCTCAATCAGGTTTTGATTTGTTATAGACTTTCCCAAATATCTGAATTGTGCCACATTTTCAAAACATCTGTTACCTAACTTTATGTCATATAGCAGCAAAATGATCTCCAACCGACACCGTCGATATATCTGACCTTTACATTATTCTTCGGCTGCTCAAGACGGTGCGATTACCTCCTCAGAGTTGTGCAACTTAAACTCATTAATTTATGTTCTTTTTTCCTTGGCACTACAGCCCCAGTGGGCCTAGGCCTACCTCCATGAACTTCTCCGTTCACTTCGGTTTTTCTAGATCTTACACATTCGGTAGGACTCCTTGGGAGGGTGATCAGCTCGTCGCAAGGCCTCTACCTGTACACAAACACAGAAAAACGCACACACACAAACTAAACATCCATGCCCTGAGTGGGATTCGAACCCACGATCCCGGTTTCCAAGCGAGCGAAGACAGTACATGCCTTAGACCGGTCGTCTACAGTGACACGGCCATTAATTTATGTCTACACCTGGAAATTGTAGTGGCAAATGAAGATGTCTTTCAGGAACTTAGGGCCTCATGGGGAAATTTCTACACTGGGTAGAAAATAACATGGAGATAGAAGAAATGGGGTCAGTTAAACAGCAAGGAGAATCATAACTTGTAATCAGGCCACTGACCTTGAACTTGAAATGGGACGTAATACTCATGTGGGAGACGAGAAATTTTATGAACCTAGAAGGAAGAGGTCACGTGTAAGACATGGATAAAGAAGATGGAAAATATTAAAACGGATCTTAAATATAAACCACGATCTGGATTGAACATACAGAATTCTTGGAGTAGACGAGAAATGCATATAAAATATCAGTCAGAATTACTGACAGTAAGAGATAAATTGGGAGACATGGACGTAGATGGAGCAAAATGTTAAAATGGTTGTAAAAGAAGCGGTGTCTGAAGGCATGAACTGAAATTACCTGGCCCAGGTTAGGGATAATTGGCTGCCCTTGAAACTTCTGGTCCATGGGCACATGTATGGAGGGAGGTGGTAGGTACCTCCACGACGAGTTTGATTTTTAAAAAAATTCTAATTTAGAAATAAAATATACCAAATAATAATAATAATAAATATGTAAAGATACTGTTCATCTATCCTGCGTATTATGGGATGTTCATTAAAAATATTCTTAAACGAGTTAAACCTAATTTTGTAAGAAATTTTTCTTATTGCCCCCTCAGAAAACTGGAGTCTCTTCTGGGTAACTGGCTGCTACCCCCTCCCCCTGGGTTCTATAAAAGATGTGAAATTTTCTGAATATCTAAGTGATTATTAATATTTCAACGCAGTTCATTATCCTTGGAGACAATTAGTTATGTGCATTTAGAAAAACTGAATCTTTTATAGTTGTAGATGAAAATGTTGCCACTCTGTATGTATTAAGATATCGCGAGCCTTCGAGTCGTTGTTAAAAAGAAGGTTCACTTACGTAATAGAAATATTGTGGCATATAGACCCGTTACTAAACGGTGACTCTGTAAACAGCGACAGTTTGTAGGTAACGCCCACAACATACCCACGCAACAATAGAACTGCATTTCCTATGTAGTCCGTGCCGATATTACATGACCAAGATGTTTGGAGTTTAGTCAGTCAATAAGACAACCCCATATTCTCACCAGAGAGGATGTTACGTAAGGACTATTACCGCTAAGGTTCGGTTGAAATAATCTCTGGTCGTGAGTCTCAATGGGCTTGACGTCAAGATGAACTGATTGGCGGTAAACCTTCAGACGTAAAGTAACTTTGATTTTGGCTTTGACTTTTAGTCCACAGAGTTGAGATCTGTACAGGAGTCTATAAGGAGGAAACTTGAGAGGGAATCAAAGGAATAGCCAATGTTGGAGCCGTTACCAGGAGACATGTAAAGAGATGAGAACATTAGACCATGTGATCTAGTGAGCTGTAAAGTGTGGAAATCGTGACAGAGTTATAGTCATTTATAGTTACGACCTCTAAGTGGTCAATATACAGGTATCTATTCATCAATCCAAATCTCTTATATGGTCACGCATACACGCGTAACAATGTTGTCTGGCTCGAGCGTCTAGTTTCTAAGGTGCAAATACCCACTTCTAAATCATAATGCTTATATATTTGTCCATAAGTACACTTGAGGCGAGAAATAATAATATTTACTCATTACCAAGGAGTCGAAGTAATTCACTTTTGCTCTTATAAAATTCATATTTCTAGAATCCAAACAAATATGGCTACTACAGCAAAAATAATATGTACACACAAAATATAAGGTATTTCAAATTATAAATTCCAAGATGTTTCCACTATTGCGCCTCACTATAAACGGAATGGACCTTAACAATGGCTCCCATTAAAAGATGTTTAATGTTGTAAAATACAAAATGCCTAGTATCACTCTGATGGTAATAACAGAGTAGATTTCTGCTATGAAGATAAATTCGTGTTGTGGTAACTGAAAATGGTCTATAGTTTATCATTTTGGGTTTACATTTGATTATATGGTTTGAAAGAAGAGAGAGAAAGAAAGAGAACACGGAATTATTGTTGCCTCATGCTATGTACCTCCTCCAACCTAGCCAACCTTTTTGCCCCCTGGTGATAAAACGCACAAACTACCACGCCGTGCTGGAGCTCGTGCCCTCGTACTAAAACAACTGACACACGAGATCGCGTGAAGCCTGGTAATTTGGCGGCAAATCGAGAAAAATTTCTTTTGTGGTTCTTTTTTCCCTTTATATATTGTACAGTCATGTTGAACTGTAATGCAATACGTCCAATTAAAATATACATGATTTTATCTTAAATTCACTATGTTACAAGCCGGAAGGTCGCGGGTTCAAATCCCGATGTCATTGGATTTTTTTCAATTAACCTAATCCTTCCAGCCGCAGTATGGCCCTGGGGTCGACTCAGCCTCTAACAGAAATGAGTACCAGGAATTAATTAAATAATTTTCTTGGGGATTAGAGCGCGGCCGGCGCGTAAAACTGACAACCTTACCGCCATTTTTGAGCCGATTGTCTGGATAATGTGGGAGCCTCAACGTCTCACAGCCCTATGGGCCTTCACGGCCTGTTACAGGGATAGCTTTACTTTATCTTAAATTATGAGTATATTAAGTCTACTTCTTAATATGGTGCCATGTTTCACAGTTAATTTTTGAATATGATGAAACTGCATGGACTTTAATAAAATTCTAAAGTTTTGGGTATCTACATAAAATGTTGCTGTTCTTTTTTTTTCAGAATATTAGCCTTCTGAAACTCTAAAAAGTGTGAGAGAATTTGCGGAACAAAGAAAAGCCGTTTGTCACAGAAGTGTGTCGGGATGAGAGGGAAATGGTGAGTATTTCATGAAGGAATTTGTTGATACGGTCTGACAGTGAAATGGTGTGGACCTTTAATATTTCAGTCCCTGTCTCTCAGAGAAAGCATTGCGTCTCTATTAAAAAGTAAAAGCCAGTGGTTACGGTTTGTACCACCCTCTTTAACACACATTCTGCCTACACAGTATTCTTTTGTGTTCCATACGAATCTCACAATAGACTGAGACTCTACTAAACAGCTTTGTAGCAGAGACCTTATGTGTTTTTCTTGTGATATGCGAACAGGATTTTTGTATATATTTTTTAAAAAGATTCGGTCTTTAAATCCCGTGTTGAGGCGGGGTCCAATACCTCCACCGTGACCCTGCGAGTCATAGGAGGCGACGAAAACGGAAGTCTCGAATCTGAGACAGTAAAATATGGTCACGAGTCCCAAGGGTCTCGGACCCGAGAATGACTGCGCTGGCGAGGGCCAGCAGCAATTGCTACAACGTTTCTTCCAGTTCTGGAACGCATCCTGGAACGCGTTTTGCGGGATAGCGTGTAGGTTCCGTAGCGAATTTTCTTCTAGCTCTTCTGTCGGCGACCTTTCAGAGTGGATTTCAACTTTTGGAACAAAAAAGAAGTCTGCAGGGGCCAAATCTTGAAAGTAGGGCGGTTGGGGGCGACAGTCGTCTCGTGCTTCGCCAAAATTCACTGATGAAGAGCGACATGTGAGCAGGTGCGTTGTCGTGGTGCAGCATCCAGGCTTGTTCCTCCACCCCTCAGGCCCCTTCCTTCGCTGTGCCTCCCTCAAATTCTTCATGACCTCCAAGTAAAACTGTCCATTGACTGTCTGATCACGTGGAACAAACTCATGATGAACCACGCCCTTCTCATAAAAAAAGATCGACAACACCTTCACATTTTATCGACTCTGACGTGTTTTTTTTCTTGTCCGCGGCTAAGATTTTCCCACCCACCCCGACATCTGAAAAGTCTGTTTAAAAGTTTTTGCCAATTTCAAACAGAATTTCATGTAAACACGTTGCTCTTCAAGGTCCTTCATGTTTTAACTGGCAAAAATCGCAAAAGGCACAAGAGACAGGTTCACTTTACCGCATGTACTCGATGACTAGTTGACGTGGCGTGATCAGGCAGGTGTCAGGTTGATGCTTAAGGTCCCGCTACACAGCGCCACTGTCGTCAGTCACATTTTGTTGGCTCGTTGGCGTCCTATTTAACAAGTTCGGTTTCTTTTTGGACAGACCACGTACATCAATACTTCATATACTCTTACACATGTCAATGTTAGTTCAGATCAAAACGCACATGATTTCTTTTTGGGATTTTCTTCATACTACCTCGGGGTCTAATATTATGACGTAAATTTTTTTTTTTTAATTCTTGGGGTGGGGTGAGTCCGCTTGGTACGGCAGCCACTAACTGGCCTATTGTACCAGGACCAGATGATAGGTGATGAGTTTGGACCAGAATGAGAATTCCTAGGGGAAATCGAAGTACATGAAGAAAACCTGCCTAAGTGACGCTTCGTCCACCACAAATCCTACATGACCTAAGCTCGTGTCGAACCTGGACCTACGCGGTAGGAAATCGACGACTAACCGTCTTAGCTACGGCAAGTAGAACTGGTTTAAGTAAAGGGCAGAATGCCGATCACAGTAGCCGCGCGGTCTGAGGCATGCACTGTCTTCGCTCGCTCGAACACTGGGGTAGTGGGTTCGGAGCTGTTTCCTGTGAGGTACGAACTGAATTCTTATATCTTATTCTTATACACTGCCTGTCACAGTAACAGCGCGGTCTGAGGCATGAACTGTCTTCGCTCGCTCGAACACTGGGATCGTGGGTTCGAGTTCTACCTTCGGCATGGCTCTCTGTGCGTGTTTAGTCGCGTTTATATTGGACTCTGTGTAGGTAACAGCCTTCCGGCAGGCTGGTCCCCCGTCCAGGGAGTCCTGCCGAATGTGTATAGGATTAAAAACTGAAAAGGCGGCCAAGGTCCAACAAAAGGAATGTGGAGCCATAGATAGGTAGACAGAGGGCAGAATTTCACGGACAGCGAATTCTTAAATCCACTCAAAATTAATTTTCATTCAATTGGATTATATGAATTTATCGGAACATAAATTTTCTGATACTTCCCGATGACTCTCTTCTAAATTGTGACCTCATATGATTTTGTAACTATTGACGGTTTTGTGAAATAATCTACCTGAGTATGGTGGAAGCAGATGCCCCTGTACCTCGGTAACCACCTGACGGTCAGCACACCTTTATATTCCAGAAACTCCAAGTTCCTGCTCCAATTGAAAATGAGTCCATGAGAAGACAGGCGGAAGGGACCGAAATAAACTGTTACGTATCCGGGGACAGTTTGACGGCCACATATTTGCATTTAACAAATTCATTCATTCGCCAATGGCACTACTGCCCTTTGTTGGGCCCTGGCCGCTTTCTTCACTTTCGTAATACGATACACAGTCAGTAGGAATCCTTGGACGGGGATCAGCCTGTCACAAGGCCGCTACCTACACACATGACATAACAAACACAAATATGTAGCCTATACCGCCTTTGATATGCAATAGGCGAATATACAACGACCATTTCTGAGCAACGGATCTGTAAACACGTTCCCGCGGAAACGAATACGCACGTAATAGACTTTCTATTGGAAACGGGGTATTTTCTACGTGGTTCCTGTCTAGATATTGTGAGCAGGAGGTAGTTTTAAGCAAAATGCTCAGTTGAACTGTGCAAGGAAGGCTGAGAAGAAATGGCGCTACAGTTCGGAGCTAGTTATTTATCAGTTGAAAGTTAGCTTATGAGCAGAACACTACGAGGTTATTGTGAAATGGCCACAAGCCTGAGTAAGTAGTCAGGTGAGAAGAGCTCTGTGCGGGGGCTGTGAAGAAGAAGATGCGCAAGAGTGCTGATCTAAAGAGAAAACATTAGGTTTTATATTCGAAGTGTGTATTTCAGTGAGACTGCTATAGTTCCTATATTAAAATCCGTTTTAAGGAAATGACTAGTGGAGACTATAATAGACTGAGGAGATCAGTCCTTATATGTCAGTGAACGTTCCCACCTCATGACTCAAGGTGCGCGGGTTCAAACCCGGCGGAGGTCGTGGAATTTTTAAGGGCGGAAAAATTCAGGGAACAAGTCCTCCGGGAGGGACTTTAAGCCGTGGGTCCCGTGTCGTAGATTTACGGCACGTAAAAGATCCTCATGTCTCTAGGAGACCTCTTGAGCAAAAATTAGGCAACACATTTTCCGCCCAAGTAGTTTCCAATGCCTTTGGTACATGGGGGAAATATCAGGTACCGAGGGCCGACCTCGTTGGCTGAACGGGGCTGATAGTACGCACCAGTACCGGTAGGGTATGGCGACAGTAGAAATTAAAGGGGGACCACAATGGACCAATAACTGGTCTAAGTGCATGGTGAAACCCACCCCCTCTAATAATAATAATAATAATATATGTCAGTGATATGCAAATTGTAATTATAAGTCGCGTGTATTATTAAATTCATTAAATTAATTCACCAGTACATGTTCCGTCTATAGTCACATAAAATGTGACATACAGACATCCATGACTTCAGTGGGATTCGAACCCACGATCCCAGCGTTCGAGCTGGCGAAGGCATTTCATGCGTCACATCGCACATGGTCTGTGATCGGTCATTTAACGAACAGGGATAATAAAGAAGCAGTAACAGACACAACGAGCCGTTACGTTTACAAACGTGACGACTGAATTCGGAGTTTTTTATTGCTAGTGGGGTGGGACTAAGTCCCTTCAACTGCGGCCACTTCTGGCCTATTGTATCAGCCCCAGATGATAGGTGAGGGTGATTGTGGAGCATTTGGTTGAATGGAGATTCGCAAGGGAAACCGAAGTACTCGGAGAAAACCTGCCCCAGCGCCACTTTGTCCACCACAAATCCCACTTCACCAGACTGTAGATCGAACTCGGGCCGCCGCGGTGGAAAACCAGGGACTAACCGCTTGAGCTATGGCGCGAACACGATTTCGGAGTTGCTATTGTGGTCAGTTGAGTACAGGGTAAGGCTAAATAACCTATAATATATCTCTCTCACATGATAGTGCATTCATGTACGTACCAAAACCCTGAGAGGGGAAGAAACTGATAGACTTCATCTTAAAATATTCAGTGATAGCAGCAAATAATGCATTTTAAAGTAACCTGATACTGTTCCATGTTGAGTACGGGATATCCCCGGGGCATACACATCTCCTGGAGAGAGACGGCACTGCAGAACTGAAGCTAGTACAAGGCGCGTAGGCTACAACGATACAATTTACAAGTTTACAGTCTTCTGGATTCTATAGCTATATTGCCCGTTGCAAGTACACCGACGTTTAGGAGAAACGTATAACCTCAAGTCTTCATGACCTTGGCTTCCTCTTCGACACAGAAGATGGTGATATTGTGACATGACGCCCGAGAGCCTGAATAGTAAAGTCAGAATAGACGTTCTTTACTAGACAACGCCTCGGTAAATACATTCTCGCGGCAACGTATATGCAAGGAACAATCGAGTAACTTCCCTTGCTATGCAAAGGATCTGTAAACACGGTTTCCCAGCAATATATAGACTGTTTTCTGCAAGTCCGTGCAAATTTGTTATGAATAATAGTTAGGCTAAAATAGTAGGCTAAAAATTTAGACATGTTGAAAGTACTAGTAACAAAGCCTATAATGGGCAAAATGTTGATGTATAAACCAACCGAATTCAAAGTGTTGACAACTTCACAAATTTTTAAGAGTTTGTGAAGTTGTCAACACTTTGAATTCGGTTGGTTTATACATCAAAACTTTGTCCATTATAGGCTTTGTTAGTAGTACTTTCAACATGTCTAAATTTTTAGCTTAATATCCTTATTAAAAAAAAGGGGGTTATGGGACAACCTTGCTGTCTGTGTGTGATCCGTGTATCTCCGTTCTTTTAGGCTTTTGAGATCAGCTTTCTTGCTGTCTGCGTCTCC